CATCTTAATTCATGTTATTTTACGACTAATAATATCATTTTCGAATTTAACGATTCAGTCATGGTCTTTGGCAGCAGCAACGTTGACATTCATGGTAATCTTACTACATTTCTTCTAATGTAATGCTTGTGAGACTTCATAGGTATTTTCTAAAATTGGGATTGTATCGCTGTTTCATACCACAAAACAGTGACATCTATACCATCTGAGCAACTCGGCTTTGGTATCCTTTTTGCGATCGTTGTAACCTCGTAAAATTCAGTCGATCAAAGAGTTGGTTTTATAAGTAAATTTTTAGTGTATTTAAATGACGACTTCCTCCTGTCGCTAACCGTCGGATCCGAAGGCACCTTGATACTTAGTCATCTATAGCAGGGCATCGGTAATAGTTTTAAGAATTAGTTGTTGTTATTATATATGATTACAATAACTATTACTGTAGTAGAATGATTTCAAGAAATCAACAGCAATTTGTACCGGGATGAAGGATCTCATAAACTCTAGACGAGGAAATAAGCAAAAGCAGAAAGACCAGAACTTACGCCGTATTTGAATATCGCTACTGGACAGTGATCAGCCGGTGGATGCAAAGAAACGACTGTTCTACTCAACCATCCTATCCGCCATGATCAACGGAGTTCTGGTTTGCTTATATAACCAAAGAGAACTAAGAGATGGTCACTAAAGAGTGATGGAGCGAAAATTATGCAAAGGGCTCCTAAGGAATAAAGTTTTGAATGCAAGAATTTGACAACATATTGAATTAACAAACATGACCTCTGTCTTCTAAGACTCCGTGAGAAGATGGACAGTCGTACGGCTAGCCGGAGGGACAACCGATGGATGTCTAGAATTACAAACTGACTTTCGATGGAGTCCACCAGTATCGAGTCGATTGTCTAGGAACACGTTGTAATTGTCTGATGGCGAAATTACTTCGTCACCAATGGAGGCGAAAAGCAGAAAATATAGAATATTGGAGCAGCGCCTACCTGCGTTCGTGTTGCACCCATAACGAGGGTTATTTCGATGACGGATTTTTTTTTCATATGCTCTGTCT